TTCTTAACTGAGGAAGATGAAGCACAGAAAAGTCAGATATCTTCCAGCGACTGCCCAGGGGACTATCAAGAGGATCGGAAGTCGAATGAGGAAGCTTGGATGTTCTAGATCTGTGTTCTGTCCTTACGGTAGCCACCAGCCACCTGCGGCTATGGAGCACTTGAAATGTGGAGAGCGCGAATTGGGATATGTCACAATATGTCCTGGATTTTGATGACTTAGTAGCAAAAAAAAAAAACATAAAATATCTCCTTGATAATTTTTTGACTCTTAATTTACATGTTGAAATGATATTTTGGATATATTGGGTAAAATAAAAGGTCATTAAAATTAATTTTACTTATTTCTTTTTATTATTTTAAATGTTGCTATAAGAAAATTTCACACTCCGTAGGTGGCCAGTGTTCTGTTTAGATTGGACAGGGCTAGACATGTGCTGGGCCTGTGGCCTCTCTTGAGACCTGCTCTGCACACAGGAGGTGGCTGCATTGAATTAATATGACTCTTGCTGAGTTAATGATAATGTGGCCCAAGGTGACCCATGTCCCACCCAGCTCAGCAACCCCATGCATGACGGAAGGCAAGAAGACCCGAGGTCATGGCCAGTCTGTAGGAGTGGGTAAGTCTGGCTGGGCACAGACCCCCTGAGAGCTGTGTCCGCTCCACTTTCCATAAACCGTGAGACTCTGAGCTGCTTGTTGGTTTGGCTCATACGTGATGCTCAAAAAATATCTGTTGAGCGGATGAATAAATGACTGACTGACTGTTCATGCACTGGGAAAGTAGGGACTTTCTTCATTAACCACAAAAGCAAAGAATGACTTTCAAAACTAGGTGAGGAACTGCTCAGATTTAGAGCGACTTTCTCTAAAAGTGTCACTGTCCACCCCCACATCACTAACCACTAAAGGACTTTATGGCATCCCAGCTGCTCTCTCTCCTCATCTCATTTTATTTTCATTTTATTGGCAGGGAGAAGGCGGCACACAAGCCTTGGAGTCTCCAGATGCCCTGTGACCACTTTCCAGGCAAGATTCTTCAGCTGTCAGCCTTCACAATTCTGCTCATGACCAGGGCCCTCCTGCCTCAGCCCTGCTGCCTCCTCCAGGGAGCAGTGAGTGCCCAGCCCAGGGTCCTCTCCACTCTAGGTGCCCTCCCG